GTGGGTTTGTTTGGGGGCCCAGAACAATGAATTTATGGGGTGTCCGTGATTTGGGGGGGTCAGAACCCAGTTGAGTGGTTGAATATTTGGGGGTGTCAGTGATTTGGGGGGTCAGAACCCAACTGAGAGGTTGAATTCATTGGGGTATCAGTGATTTGGGGGGGGCCAGAACAATGGGGGTGTCAGTGATTTGGGGGGTCAGAACCCAACTGAGAGGTTGAATTCATCATTGAATTCAGTGATTTGGGGGGGCCAGGACAATGAATATTTGGGGGTGTCAGTGACTTGGGGGGTTCAGGACAATGAATATTTGGGGGTGTCAGTGACTTGGGGGGTTCAGGACAATGAATATTTGGGGTGTCAGTGGTTGGGGGGGTCAGAACAATTAATTAATTGGGGTGTCAGTGATTTGGGGGGTTCAGAACCCAACTGAGAGGTTGAATTCATCATTGAATTCAGTGATTTGGGGGGGCCAGGACAATGAATATTTGGGGGTATCAGTGATTTTGGGGGGGCCAGAACCCCCAAATCCCCCTCCCCCCTCCCTTCTCACCCACGGCATTCCCTCCCTGGAGCTTCCCGGGGGTCTCCACCCCGCTGAGCCCCCTCCTCTCCCCCACGGCAGTACGTGGCCTTCGCCTCTCTCTTCTTCATCCTCATCTCCATCACCACCTTCTGCCTGGAGACGCACGAGGCCTTCAACCGCGTCATCAACAAGACCGAGACGGTGACCACGGGCAACGAGACGGGCACGCAGGTGGCCGTGGAGGTGGAGACCGAGCCCTTCCTCACCTACGTGGAGGGCCTGTGCGTGGTGTGGTTCACCTTCGAGTTCCTCATGCGCGTCAGCTTCTGCCCGGACAAGCGCGACTTCATCAAGAGCAGCCTCAACATCATCGACTTCGTGGCCATCTTGCCTTTCTACCTGGAGGTGGGGCTGCGCGGCCTGTCCTCCAAGGCGGCCAAGGACGTGCTGGGCTTCCTGCGCGTCGTCCGCTTCGTCCGCATCCTCCGCATCTTCAAGCTGACGCGGCACTTCGTGGGGCTGCGCGTGCTGGGCCACACGCTGCGCGCCAGCACCAACGAGTTCCTGCTGCTCGTCATCTTCCTCGCCCTGGGCGTGCTCATCTTCGCCACCATGATCTACTACGCCGAGCGCATCGGCGCCGACCCCGACGACGTCACCGGCTCGCGCCACACCTACTTCAAGAACATCCCCATCGGCTTCTGGTGGGCCGTGGTGACCATGACCACGCTGGGCTACGGCGACATGTACCCCATGACGTGGTCGGGCATGCTGGTGGGCGCCCTGTGCGCGCTGGCCGGCGTGCTGACCATCGCCATGCCCGTGCCCGTCATCGTCAACAACTTCGGCATGTACTACTCGCTGGCCATGGCCAAGCAGAAGCTGCCCAAGAAGAAGAACAAACACATCCCCCGGCCCCCCCAGCCCGGCTCTCCCGGTTACGGCTCGCCGGGCTCGGGGCCCAACGCCCCCGGCAGCCCCCGGGGCGCGCGGCGCCCGCCCGCCTGCCCGCTGGCCCAGGAGGAGGTGGTGGAGATCAACCGGGCCGGTGAGTGGTGGCCCCGAAACTGGGGGGGTTTGG